AAAATTATATAAAATAATATAAATATTCCTTCTGGAACTCCTCAGCAAGATTTTCCTCAGCATACTGTCTAATACACCAAACTCCATAAGCAAGAGTAAAGAAACAAGATCCGATTATTAAGAATGAGGCAAAAGGATGCATTTGACGTTGCCCTGGTATTTTACCTCTTGTCGATCAGGGTAATAACTTTTCCTAACCTCCAACATTGATGTCAGTCCACCCCCAGAACTCTGAGGCCATTTGTACTGGGAAGAGCACACACGGCTAATAAATGCACAGCACCCACGCAACTTCTGGTGCATTTGCTGTTCGTCTGAGGCCCCTCTCCCAAAGGCCGTCAAAAATGCGAGTGGCAACTCCTCCGATACTTGCCACGGACAGGTCAGGTGGATATGGTTTTATTTAATTTGGAAGAGGAAGAATTTGCTCTGCCATGTCTCCATGCTCCCACAACGTGTGCTCAAGAATTAGTGGAAAAATACATCAAATAAATATCAGATAAAAGCACCCAAAATACTCTCAGTAATGCAAAGAAAGGAATATTTTAGCATATGGTCAGAGAAGGTATTCAAAGCCTCCACTGTTGCTTCTAGAAATGTCAGGACAATTCGGAAATGTCAGTTCCTTTACTGGTTTCCAGATTGTAACTGAAGGATCATGTAGCTCTCTCGCTCTTTCTCTTTCTTTCTCTCTCTCTAAATAGGTCTATAAAGATCAGCTGGAAAGTGCAGACAGAATTGTTCACTGGTTAGCTTTACTCAGAGCTACGGGGTATATATGTGCTTTGTTTTGTCTTATTGATCAATCTAGCTTACATTTTTAGCACACATAAACAAAAAACAGGAAAAGTCGATGAGAAACACGAATAACACAAAACAAGGTTCCAATCGTGCAAATTTTGCTTCACTGGATAAAGCACTTCCTGATGCAGTAATGTCCAGAATCCCCCTCCCCCAGAAAAATACAGGACTGAGACTGAAGCCATTCTTTTTTTTCTTTTTTTTTTTCTTTTTTTTTTTCTTTTTTTCCTTAAGGCTATACAACACAAAGAAATAAAGCATGGAAAGAACACCTCATTGAGCTGAACACTTCATTCTTCTGGCTCTGGAGCAAGCCTTTGACAAAGCGATTGTGTGGTCCGAGTTATTTGCCTCACTGGGACAACAAGAAGAGAAAGAAAAAGAGGAAAAAATGAAAGAGAGGAAAAAAAAATAAAAAAAAAAAAAAAAGAAGAAGAAAGTCAATGATCCCAACAATAAAATCCAAAATTGACTTTACAATCACAGGTACAAATCGCTCAGGTCGATAATTTCATTTCTCCTAAAGATCACTGTCGTCTAAAACTAATTAGAGGCGCAGGCTCCCAAGGAATTGTCAATATTCAAAGCAAATGTTGGAGTTTAGAAGGTTATCATTCTTCTACCGTGACAGTCTGACGGGGTGACTGGAAATATTGTCATGTGCTGCCAAGTTCAGGGTGTCGTTAACGACTGAATCCTTGCTCCGGCTCATAGATCTGTCTTCTATTTGGCTTTCTTTTATAGTGGAAAGACTAAGAAGCCAGAAAAGGTTGAATACTTCCACCCTCCCATGAGGTTACCCCTTTCCAGTTTGAGATGCACTTTGTCTTCTCTTTCCATGTGGAGCAAGACCCCATTGCTGGCTGCTTCTCTGGTGACGTCCTGATCCCCTGCAAAAGCTGAAATCACTGGGTAGCCGTTTTGCATTAAACTTACCTAAAAAGTGCAAAGAGAGAGAATCTGAGTTTTCTCAACACTCTCAATGACTATTTTGCCCCCTGCACATCACTGCACTTCTGTGCAGGTTAGAAATAGGGCTGAATTAAGCTAAGGCAATGTGTGATTTCTGTCATGCATACAGACCTCTTTAACTAAAATAACCTACAGTCTTGTTCTTCGCTTGCTGTTTTTGTAAATGCACCCCAGTGTCTAGAAATGAGCATTTGAAATAAAAGGAAAGACAGCACCTTCTTTAGATCACAACCCACCTGGATCGTTTGTCTGTTATAGACCTTGACCACGTGGAAACTGAAACTATATATCCCTTTTCTTGGTGCTACAAATATACTGGAAGCAAGATCAAAATGGTTGCCAATATTAACTAAGACCTGGAAAGTAAACAACAACCAAAAAAAAAAAAAAAAAAGAGAGAGAGAGAAAGAGACAAAGAGATAAATCAGACCTCACCTTAGAAAAGCGCCAGTGAAAATCTGACATGAGCTCCATTACCGATACAAAGCCTATAGAAATGGCATTTGCAGCACAATTAAAAGTGCACTGCAGGGGAAAGGAGCCAAGTTAGAGAGGTATGTAAAAAGCATAGCAGTTCATAAAACGATTTAGTTATGCAAAGATGATCTCCAAAGCCTATTAAATGAAGTGCAAATGTCCACACTGCACTGTAAAAAAAGCAAAGGAGGCAGAAGCAGAGAGGAGGAGCAGGGGGAAGGAGGGATAGTAAAGAAGTGAGGAAAAAACCGCGAAACTCATCAACACATGATGCAAATGCACATTTTTTTTAAATAGCATTACTGAAATCAGACCTGCCCTCGAGTTTAATAGGGTATAGAACTAAAATCGTACTGCAGAGAACGGTGGAGGGAGAGAGAGGATGCTCAGCACCAGCAACATCTGCCACCTGATGCCTCTGTCCCTCCGGAGTGCTGTGCTGGCTGCCCTGCACCCTCCTCGGGCGGCTGGGGTGGGCCTGCTCCTCCTCCTCGACGACAATCTTACATTGTTATGTACCCCAATGTCTTTTGAAACAAAGGAAAAAAGAGGAGCTGAGCCCTCTGGCAGATGTGAGAAACCCCGCTCGGCATCGGCTGAGGCCGGTGCGGCGCCCGCCGGTTTGACGGGGACCCGGCTTCGGCTGATCTGCTCGACCCCTTTCCAGGCTCTCCAGCGACGGGCAGGCAGCCTGATGTGGCTCAAAGGCGGGGGTAACGAGGGGGGAAACAGCCGCGGAGCCGTGGCGACGCCGTCCCTCAGCCAGCTCCTCCGCCGCGCCCGCCCCCGGGGCGCCCCGGACACGCTCAGCTTTGCGGGATCGACCTCTATTTTAATGTAGAAAAACACAAAGCACGAGGAAACAAAATCGAAAACAAAACCCCCTAAAATCCCAAGCCTTTTCTCCCAAATACCCTATTGTTTCCAAGAAAGAAAAAAACGAATCCGTTATTGTGGGAGCACCGAGGGAGGAACGCCTTCAAACTCCCGAGAACTGGGCACTGCGGGGTAAGGCGTCTAAAATACGCTACACATGAATCAAACTTTTTTTTT